AATAACATATTGCAGCTCATCAGCTTAGCATGTTGAACATACGTGGACTTCAGCAACCTCTTCCACTCTCTCCTTTTAGTCCAGGGAGCTGCCAGGAGCTGCTGACTTGTGCAGATGCACAATAGAAAAAAAAAAAAAACAAGTGGGAAAAATAAACAGGGAAAGAACACTGGTGTCTATAAAGAGGATGAGTAAATTTGCATAATAATGTAGCAGCTTAAAATTAGGAAAAAAAAATAGAAATAACTAGGAAAGATATAATCATAATCCTTTTGAAAACCTGAAAGCACTTAGACAAAGCCAGAATTACCAGCAAAGTTAACAAAGGATTTGATGAATGTGCAGTTCAGCTTACAGAAACAAAAATGCTGTGTAAGTCCATTGAGCCTAATAGAGCTACTCCAAGGCTGGACTTTGGGAACAATGAATAGCAATAAAAAACTCCTCATATTTCATGGATTACCTAAGATAAGCAATGTACACACAGTCCATTACCCAGTCCTGTTAAAGCTTATAGTCCTTCTTCATTGGCCATTACCTAGGGATATTGGCAGGCAGAAGAATAAAGCACAAGCAGCATCAGTGGTGCAAGAGAGTGTTGTGGATCTCTCTGAGACGAACATGGGCTTGGAGTCCAAATACCTCATTTTGCTATTTCTGCTGTCCCTGATAAGGCAAGACAAGCTGTGAAATCTCACAGGTGTACTATGTTTAATTAAAGGCTCTCCCTTCTGAGTTTTGCTAAATACTAGAGAACAACTCTGCACTGGATTTTCTCTGTCTGTGACTCAGAGCCTACTCTCTTACTTGTGGGTGTGAACATATGCTGGAAGTTAGATAAGTGTGCAGTCTGTCCAGACACTGAAACTTTCCAGTTCCTAATACCTATAGGGATGTCATTTCCACGCATGTGAATACAGACAGGGGAAGAAAGTCATCTCCATTGGCGGGGATGGGAGGTTGAGAAAATGAGGTTCCAGAAGTTACTTTCACAGCAATTCACTCTTAACCTTGGTGTGGCATTTTACTTCCTCTGTAACCTGAGAGTAGAGATAGTGACACTTGTTGAAGTAGCAATTTCTTCAACACTTACATTTCTTAAATACAGGGGACTGAGACAGAACTTCCAGACAGCTTTCAGACACCTCAGATTTCATGAAAGGTCAAAATCTGAGGTTTCAAATTAATAGATTGATAGAGATTAATGAAATTTTGTTGTGCGTTTTGATCTAACTGCTGTATTACACTCCAGAGATCCCTCTTTGTGCCATTCAGATGCAAAGCACCAAGTGATGTGGTAATAAACATAAGCCGTACAACTGGAAAAACATGTGAATTCAGTCAACTGTAGAGTGATGGGAGCAGTTTTGTGAAGGCTGGTGTGACAGCAGCACCAGCACTGGGAATGAATTGTTCCCCTTGTTATGAAGAAAACAGGGACCCAGATTAGCATTTCCAAGACTCAAGTATCAGATGAGCACAGTCGTAAATATGATTCAGGGCTGAAAATCAGAGTGACTGTTAAATATTTTCTTCATATTCTTTCCTTGATCATTACTGGGAATACACTTCAGCAGTCCAATTTTAAGCTGTCTTGCAAAATAACAGGTTAAATTCCTCTTATATTCAAAATAGGCTCTTTTGGAACATTATTAAGCTCACCTATTTTCAGTGTCTACACTATTACATGAAATATCTTACTATAAAATTGCCATCCTCTGCCTCTCTGTTGAGAATGAAAGTTTGAGGCAATTACATTGGATGTAGGGGGTCTATTGCAGACATCTGACATTAAGGGAGAAGAATTCCTTATCTCTTTTAGCTTTTCCATTACATGATCTCAATCTACCCTTCAAAGTAAAGTATTTGCAAAATGAACACACAGGGAGGAACCATAGAAGGAATATGGAAACTTCAGGATAGTTTTAGGTATGATAGTTTTAAGTATGATGGTTGTTACATCTTGCTTTGTATCAACATAAACGTCCTGATAATTTAGGGCTTCATGATCTGCTGACCAAAGAACTCTAATCAAGAGAGATAAAAATAGTTTTAAAAATTCTTTCCTTGCTTGTCAAAGACCTGTTTCCAGAAACAGGTGGTAGTAAAAAAGAATGACAGAATTCAATTCTTACAAAGAAAACCCATTTACAGGTTTCTGCTTCAGAAGGCATGTAGTCAGTTTTTCTGCTTTGCAGGGCAGATCTGGAAATCAGACAGAGGCGTAATAAATTAGTGCATGCTATGGGAGTCATTGGGTGTGACTGTGCCCTGTGCTGTGCACCAGATCTCGCTGGAGGATGTAATCTCTCTGCTCTGTGACTTGCCCTCTGCACCAAATCTGATGAAGCAGTGCCCAAGGGCTTCAGGACTGGGCCACCTGCCCAGACAGCGGTTGGTTTGCAAGGGAACTCAGTCACTTTGTTGATGAGGCTTCTGCTGCAAGTGCTCTGCATGGACACTGACCTGGCTCTAAGGTCATTTTTTTTCTTCCACAGTGGCAAAGAGGAGGATTCTTCTTCCAGTAAAACAGTGGCCTGTCATTAGTGACATCTGCATCTAGTGTCTGGTATTTTGGAAGCCTTTCTTTCAGAGGCCAGAAGGGAGTGGCAGAGCCTCTGCCTGATATTACACACAGGGGTTACCACAGCGGTGTATGGAGGCACCTGATTTGTGACGGCAGAGGGGTGTCTGGCTGGTATCTCCAGTGTTCTGCTGTTATTCTTCTGCTGCCTCTTGGCTGAGAAGCGGAGATAACACGGTGGAAAGAAAAAAACATGATAGTCTCTTCTGCGTTCTTCCTTGCTTTATTGGAGTTGCAAGTTTTTCTACCATCCGCCCACTGGTTTTTAAAACAGTTAATCTCATTAATATAATCTGATATTAATAAGGGAAGTGGCTTATACTGATTCAGTAGGTCACATTGGCTCTTTACCTGGGTGCATGAGTGTGGCCTGAAGACGGTACAGACTGGTGTTCTGAATCGAGTACTGCACTGTCCTAAACCTGCCACAGTTGTTTCTCATCTCTGCCACGGAAAAACAAAATAAACCTCCTCTGAGTCTGGGGTGCAGTTCTTGAAAGGCCATGCAAGAAGAAAAAGGGGGAAAAAGAAACAAAGTATGATCCTGCTGACTGAGGAAATATTTTAAAGCCAAAAAAGATGCTTAACAGCCTGAGCTGAAATGGTTATACCTTCTCAGGCCTAATACTCTTCCATGGTTCTGCGGATATCTTTGGTGTCTTGCAGGAGTGGGCTTTGACAGTAGAAGTACTGCGCCAACAATTGCAGGTGGTGACCAGTAGTAAGAAAGACGTCAGACCATTCTGGTCATGGAAGATGTATTGATTTATTCCCAGAATAAATCAAGTAGGGTAACAAAACAATATACGTTTCATATGAGATTAACATCTCTTACATAGCCTTCCTGGCTAGAAGTTTCTACAACTTGCAATGTCGTTCTTCTCTTCCTAGCTAACTTGTGATCATCCTTTTTATTAGAACTTTCATGCTCTGTGTTACTGGCATCCAACTGATAAATTAAAATGTCATTTTTCTGGAGGAATACAAATAAAACTAGTTTAGCTCTCTTATCTTCAAACAAAATGCTCTGACGCCTTGTCTTTTTGTCAGTCATACTCTTATTTTGCGTTATTTTGTGGTGGTTTATTTGCAGTAAGTAGCTCATCATCAATACTCAAGGATTTCACTGAATTTACGTGTCTTTTTACTGATGTAGGAGAGGTAAAAAGAGAAAGAAAGTACACGACCTCATGTAAGCAATATGAGTCTGTGTATCTAAAAGACAAATATTTTGGCCATATTCAAATACAGAGAAATTGCTGTCTTCTTAGAGAAGAGATCAGAATATTTATGATAGTTCAGATTGAGTCAGTGAAGAGTGAAAACGGAGGTTGAGTAATTTCATAACTTTTCACTTTCTGTTGGCCTAGACAAGAAAATACACAGTAACAAACTAAATATAACAAACAAAATATAAGGCAACAAACCTGAAACCACAAAGGAACAATGGACTAAACAACCCACAAAAGAAAAATGAGAAAAGATCAGTGTCCAAAGCGTACTACCTCTGTGAATCTTGGCAAACCACCATTCCCTTAAAGATAGCTATGAGAGCTCTGCAAAATCCTCAAAACTTATTTCAAGGGGAAACACAGTTACAAAGGAGCCAAACAGTGGCTGTTTCTGATACTGCTTTGAGAAGAGCTTTTCACCCTTACGTAAGTCTGCTGCCTCGGTTTCTCTGTTAATGCATAGCAACTTCAGACTACCTCGGTCAGAAAGGAATGCTTGCACTGGAGCTTTTTACTTTCCTGAAACACTTTGGGATGTAGCTTCTGTTGAAAACACATTGATGTTTTAAAGTCTTTTGAAATTATGGCACGTTTTCTGCAGCTCGCTGCTTTTGCACCATCTGGCAATGAAATCTTCTCATCGCCGAAGAGGTTTTAGAAGGCATAATGCAGCCACGCTTGTCATTCAAACTAGATCTGATGGGGTCAGTCCTCAGGAAACAAGATTAAAACCTTTGAGTAACCTTCAGAGTCGTTCCATCCCCAGTGTGTGTTTTGCTCTTGAGGCTCTGTCAGCAAGAGCAGGTATCTAATTACTACCACACGTCCTGGTGATGTAGCCTTTAGGAGACCATTTAGTTACTCTTGGTGATAGTATCTCTCAACACTTGGCTGTTGCAAAATGAATTGACGGTTTCCAGGCCTCAGAATGAGTGTTTGGTAAAATCTTGTGTGGCACAGCCTCACAAACGTAGTAATTCATGTGCTGTTGCTGTGTGAAATATCCCACACCAGGCTCCAGCCTCTGCAGTGTGTGACAGTGACTCCGCTGTGCCGTGTCAGGGGCTGCCGTCTCGTGGGGTTGCTGCTCTTGGTATTAGAGAGCTCTGTTTTACCAGGCTGCAAAGCAGGACCTGGGATTACTGGATGGCTGTAAAACGTTTTGCTGTTTTTATTGTTCTCAGGGTGGAACCTGCACTTACCCGGATCAAAGAAGATCGAAAGCGGATCATCTTGCCAGCAATTGACAATATCAAGTACAACACGTTTGAAGTGCAGCAATACGCCAACGCAGCCCACGGCTATAACTGGGGTCTCTGGTGCATGTACATAATCCCACCACAGGACTGGCTCGATAAAGGGGATGAGTCAGCTCCCATCAGGTAAATCTCCCATGTGCTGTCATTTTGGTACTAGCAATGTTTCCATCTCAGCCGTCTGCCAAGGGGGAATTTAAGTGAAACGAGGCTGTAAGCTTTGTCCAGGGATAGCAAAATGAAACTGAAGAAAACGGGTGGCTCTGCAAAGCTGTAGATGCATGGGTCATGTCTCAGAGCTGCACCACAGAAGCACACGCGTGCTCTAGTTGTGAATGTGTGGTTCGAGATAGCCCTTAGCGGGGTTGCAGGATCTTTTCTGTCTATGCTTTTATTTTGTAGTGGACCCTGCATGAGTAATAAGCTGGTCAAACATTGTGTGTATAAGAAACAAAGGTATTTTTGTAGGTGATTACAAAGAGGCTGGCTTCATTTTGGTATGTAGGCAGCACTCTTGGCCATCAGCCCAAACCAGAGCTTCCCAGGAGCACTAGTAGGAGACTTGTTAGCCTTGCCTTGTTCAAGAGTTGCTCTTTCTTTGGAGAACTTATTCTGAGTTTTCCACATATTCTGAGGTTTCCTACTGGACACGTTTTAAAAAGAAATTGGACCACGTAGTCAGAGTGTCATTTTTCTCTATAAGGGAATATTTTGCCTTGCAGAAATGGAATTTTCTAAGGAAATACTGTTTCAGGAATTGTGGTAGTGTTTTCAAGAACTGTTAACAGTGAGGAAACAGCAACTGATAAGAAAGGGGCTTTCTTTCCCTTTCGTTTGAAAATTCCCATCTCCTAGCCCTTCATCTCCAGTGCACATTCTTGTCCAAAAGCTCCTCTGAGATATGCTGTGCTGAGTGAAGGGTGCTATTGTTAGCAACTGTTGAAACAAATGCTAAAAAAATGAAATCTAGGATTGCACTTTAGGTTTCTCTGCCCTATTTTTGAGATTTCTTAAGAAGAACGCAAATTACCACCTTAGAGTCATCTTCATTTTGATGTATCACAGCTTCATCCTAAAATCAGCTGAAACTCTATTGTATGGTCCCAATGGAGGCCTCTATCAGAGAAGCTGATGTGCTTCCTTTCTAGCATAGAGCTTGAGTTGACAGGTTCTGAGAAGCATCCTCAGCTTCTTGTCCACACAAGCATCCTCATACAAAGAGTAATATTTCAATTCATATTTGAGCGTGTGTTGCAAGTTGCACTTAGGTTCATTCTCATGCCCTGTGACTGCAAAACAGAGCATTAACCTTATTTACTACAAGACAGCACAGTTCTTCATCACTGACCCTTTGCACAGCTTGAAACCTCAATAAACAGCAAAGTAATTACTTAGGAAATCAGTTTTCCTGGATAACATGTCCTGCTCTCCTCGCATTGTTTTAAAAGTGCAGATGTTTTATATCTATTTCGCTCAGCCCTGAGAAATAGTTTACTGAGGAAGGAAGATTAATCAGCCAAAGCTTTCATTGCTGAAATCAGAGTTTCATTCTTTTATTCCTGAAAGGTTTTGCACACTTCATTACTTCCAGTTTATGTGTGAAATCACTGTATTAATTTTCACATGAGTTGTTCTAGTATTCGAGTATCTTCTGTTCTGGAGACAATGATCACATATCAGATAAGACTGAACTAACTGCTTAAACCTCTGCAAATTCTTAAACATGATTTTCAGTGTTGGTAGCTCATGCACTCCCTAAAGTATGGAAGCTGCATCTGCAAAACACTTCTGGAAATTCAACTACAGGTCTTTTTAATAGAGAATAGGGAATCTCATTCCTGTAATGCTGGGATAAGAGGGATTTTTTTTCATCAATATAAGACCTTCAAGCTCTCACCAGAGCTATAGTGTCTCTGAGTTGGATTGATACAGAAGTGAATAAGGTCCAAACTCGAGCAGCAAGCAGTGTTGAAATCTGTTGCACACAAGTACGTGGCTCCTGAGAGCAGCAATTTTATTCTGAACCTGAATGAAGAAACCCAGTGCATGAACTGCCCAGGGACAGCAGAGAAGCAGCACAAGGAAGAGAGTGCCCAAGCCTTGCTGACAAATATCAGGAGCACTGAGACGTTGTGATTGCATAAGTATCTCTCCTGCAAATTATGAATTACATGCCCTAATATGCGGAGACTTCAACATCAAACCATGAACACTTACCTGTCTCTCTGTGAAAATGTGCTTTGAAGGCAGTGATATAGGAGAGCAGAGCATCCCCTTTATAGCCCCACTGCACTGATTTCTGATGGGGCTCCAAACCAGCAGCACCTGAATGGATTTACTGAAACATTTGGCTGTGCTGTTTTGTGCTGCTGTGTTACGCCTGCCTATAGGAATACAATGCAATTTTGTGGCTTTTAAGTGATATGCCAACATAACGGAAATAGTGAGTGTGCAAGTGTTATTGATGAAAAGGATCAGGAAGTTTGTATTTGGAATCAAGATTCAAAAGTGCCCATGGTTGAAGCTTAGTAGCAGCAGAAAATCTGAGGTATTTATTCAAAAGAAGGGGAAGGCAGACTAGTGAGCAAACTTTTTCAAAAATCTGTTGGTCTAGCACGGATTTAGGGGTTGTAACCACCTTTCCAAACCATATACTGCAACTATGATTTCTGTTTCAGTCCAACTTGCAAGGGACACATACGGGCCCATGTGGATGGTGTTTGGATCCACGTGTCTGTCAGTGCATTCATTAACATTGCAGGACTGTTCATCAGCATGAAAACTGCAAATTCACATACTCCTTGCTGACACTGTCCCTCTTAGGGCTTCCTTTAACACTGTCTTCAGCAAATAGTGCGTTTATTTTTCGTCTCTCTGTGTTCTGTAAAAGAAGAGGCTAATAAGAAATAACCCAAGGACCGGTTTTGTGGTTGGTGTAGCTGAATACATCCTCCTCAGTCTCCAAAGGGATTAAAGATTTTCTGTGTTCGAAAAATGCATACCCTAGTATCGGTGACGATCAGACCCCTGGCATTTTTCTGATGTTTGCATTAGATGAATAAATATCATCAATCTGCAGAATTGGGTGAGACATTTAGAAAGTAGAGTCCAATTCCTGTTTTCTTCTGGGAGTACACAACAAATATGCTTACTTCTTTTCTCAGATTTTTTTTATTTGAAGCCTGATCCTCTACTTTTTTGAACACCAAGAGCAGTGTGATCCTACTCAGAGCCTTACTGGGAAGGAGCAGGAGCTGTCCCTCAAGTCAGTGGGGCACTGTGCAGGCAGTCATGTCAAGCGCATTATATGTCAGATCAGCTGTTGTGGTCCAAGTGACAAGGGGGATTTGGCCTTGAAGTGCAAACAAGGGTAAAGAAATACCAAGAACAAAGTGTCAGATATTGTAAAGATATCTCATACGGTTTAAAGTTGGTTCTTTTGGGCTTTTTCCACGTTAATACACTGAAATTCAGGGCAACTGATATTCCCCAAATCAGCTTCTGCAGGCAATCTATTTTGCATGTTGACATCTGAGATGTAAGATGTCTCTAATGTGAATATTTAAATGAGGATTGTTATTTTGACACACTGTGTCCATCACATCACTTTGCATTTGTGTTCGTGAGGACACACTGCAACATCATCTGGCAACAAACTGTGTAACAAAGGATCCTATTTCAGATGGTTTCTAGTGAATTAGACTATACATTGAAACAAGCTGGGTTTGTTTTGGGGTTTTTTTTGTGTTTTTTTTTGTTTTTCTTTGTCTATGCAGCAGAAACTGCTGGTTTTTGGAATAGCAAGGAAGGTTTCTGGTATCCTGAGCTCTGGCTTGTCTTCCCTTACCTGCCGTGATTATGATGGACTGCTCTGTGTTTGATTTCTTGATCAGCAGCCACTAACATTAGAGTCATTAGTCAGCCTCACTCAGCCAAGCACGGCACAGCTTTCCGTTTTATCTTCCTCCAGCGGCAGTGGCCCATTTCATTGTTGCATATGCTCTCACTTGCTGCTTTTATATGCCATAGGAATATAATAGCAGTAGGAATGTCCATATACATGCACTCAATCAGCCACTTCAGGAAGCACGTGTGTCTCATATATATATATATAAATTAGCGTCTGATATGCCCACAGTGAAGCGGTTTCTGGTAGCTGCTTTAGCTGGGAGGGTGCGTGTCCATCTCATGTGCAGGTCAGGCCCTTTGCTGGTCTGTCATCGCAATGGCCATGCAGCCATGCTGGATCTTCAAGGCTCTGGGAAGAAATCCATCTGGGTACCTGAGCATAAGGGTCTCATCTCTGAAGCCTTCCAGGATAAATCCTGCATTCATGTAATAATAAAACTAATGACTGTTTGTTAATTGATTATTGCTGTCTTTGCTGTTGCTCGCTCATAGGAGCTTATAACAGAGCAGTTTCTATTTTATTTGTCCAGGTTCTGACAGGTGTCCTGCCTCTTCCAAAAAAATATATTTCTGTGGGGTGTCAGAAAGTTATTCTGCTCTGCCTTTCCTAGGCATCTATTCTGGTTTGCTCTTTTTCACATGCTACAGCTCTCCAAGGGGGTCAACAAACCTTTCCAACATTATGTTTGTTGGGGTTTTTTACTGTAGCTCCTGAGCAGGAGATCTGTCCTTGGGTTCTGTTTTCATGACTTGGTATGACTCCTTCTTGCAGAAGACATGAGTTGTAAGAACAAATAAATGCTTATGCAGTTACCATGCAGGTATCACCACTCATCTGTCAGGCCAGGTGAGGTGCTGCTTAGAAACCTGAATCAAGGAAACATTCTGCCAGGAAGGGTGGAAAACTCAAAGATATGGTATGTGATGTGTCATTTGAGTGTCTCTTTCCTTACCCCTATATATATATATACACACATGTTTATATATTTTTATAGTTATATTTGTATTTGTGTTTATGGATTTGTGTGTCAGTGTTTGTAGGTCAGTCGTCCTGGAAATTGGACTTGTTGTATGTTCTGAAAACTGTTATAAATATGACCTGATTGTGTGTATACTGACCTTGAAGCAGAGGGAGAGAGATGCATGAAAGGAAGACTTACCGTGTCACCTGCAGCATGTCAGTCTAGTGCTCATCCCTTTCTCCTTCACTTGCTCTTGATGAAGCCCCAGGCAGCATCCTTCAGTTCTCTGTAAAGGGACAGAGTGGGGTGCACCAGGCTGGAGAGGTGGGCATCAGCTCCTGCTGGAGGTCTCACTAAAACAAAATACTCGTGACTCAGACTGCAACTGGCTTTCGTTTCTGGTCAGTGTGTCCTCTCTTTGTGGTACTTCATGCCATAGCAGGCACTGCCTGCTTTCGTACAGTGCCTGTCCCCTCGTAGCCAGCTGTGCTGCAGCAGCAGGTGGGGAGGGAGGGAGCGCTAACCACCGGGAAGCACTGCTCTCTCTGCTTCCTCCCTTTCCCCAGAGTAAAGTCTCTCTCATATCTCCTTTGGTACAGCCCTGCCATCAGGTATTTTCCACAAACTGACTGTGCCATATGTCTCTCCAGTGCAGAATCAATACTATTCTATGCTGCATTTTAAGCTTTTAGCTGCAAAAACCATTTTGCCATGTTTACCACATTATTCTTTGAGTGCTGCTGTTGATTATAATTAATGTTTATAACATCCTCAGTTGTGTCAGAGAATATTCCACAGATTAAGTAAGTTTCCCAGCACCTCAAAGGTGTTGGGAAAAAACAGTACAATTTCTATTTTGTGATACCTTCCTTTTAAATATGCCACTCTCTTGCTAGAAAGTTAATGATTTAAGGAGAAACGTCCTTTTATAGAAAGCAGGTGTTGTTTAGGTTAATATATTTTACTCTGAAGCTGTGAAGTGCTAAGGGAATGCACCTCATTTGCTGCCCCTTGGCTAGCGAGCAGCGTGTAAGACATGCTAACAAAATTGCTTTAGCTCATATATCCATTTCTGACTTTGAAGGCACGTCTTTGCTGCAAGTGGTAGATATATTGGAGTTTTTCAGGTACTGGAAAAACCCAGTGACGGTAGCCAAGTGAGAGTTTCATGCTTTATATATCAATATAACGCTGTAACCCAGTGCAAAATTACCTACCTATATTCTTCAAGCACTTTAAGAAGTGAATCCTAGGCTTTCAAGCTCCTGAAGAAGTTCTCAGACTTATAGCCCATATTGTGTTCTTTACAGATGGAGAAATAGAGGCAGAAGGAGGTGACTCACTGAAGACTAAATGAATGACAGAGCTGGGAATGGAGTCAGGGTCCCCTGGCTCACAGCACTGTGACCAGCTCACTGGGCTGTGCAGTCACGTCACGCTTAGTTTACAGTTGGGTCAGTCAAAGCACAGGGAAGTTAAAGGTCTGGGCTTGACAAGGACCGAATGCCCAAAACTCCAGTTGAACCTGATGGAAGTGTTGAACACGCAGGATACAGAAAATTTAACATTCTGTGTTGTAGGCAAGTTCTTCCATTGTGTCAGGAGGTGGCCAAGGCAGAGATACAAACTTCTCAGTTCAGCTTCTGGGCTTGAAGCTGTGCTACCTTGCAGTGGCTGCAGGCAGCCAAATTGAGGTAGAGAAAGGCAATTTTTTACTGGCTTCCCTGAAAAGCTGGATGTGATTCCTTCTGGTGTTGCTCCTTCCTGTAATTTTTTTTTTTTCTGAATAAACAATGAAGGCTTGTGGTGTCAGTATTTGTATATATCTAATGAGAAGAAATAAAACCTAGAAGAGAGAGAGGGAGTTGCAAAGGCAGTCCTTGGTGGCATTTGTCTGTGAGTGATGATTATGTAGTTGCATCTAAAATGTATTTCCCACCCCCATTCAATTAACAAGTCAATGTTTTTAATGGCCAGAGCCGACAGCTGCAAAAATCTGTCCCCCAGAGAGAGAGGTTCCAGCACCTGAGAGCAGTCTTCAAAGCCTCGTGATACCGCTCCTCATTAGGAAGGAAGGAGAAATGTCCTCACGGGAGCATCCTACTTCTGTAAGAAGCTGCCTCCGGAGGACTGGGGGGGCTGGAAAGAGAATGAGTCTAAGCCCAAACCAGCAGCTCATTTTTGCAAAGCAGTGATGCTCTAGCCTTCATCCTGTGAAGCCTGTTTTAGCTTTAAATACATAAAATAGAAAATTAAGCAGGTGGTGTTTCTTCTCCACACCTCCTTCCCCTTTTAATCATGGTTATTGCTTAAGAAATACCTAAATATTCCCTCAAAGATTTATTTCATGTCAAAGTTCCTGAATTCTCTTTTGTTCATCAAGTCATTCTTTTATTTCAGATTCTAAACCAAATTTATTGCTTGTTAACCTAAAATATGGATTTCAGTGATATAGGAGATGACAGTGGGCGATATATAGGATGTTTGGCCCTGTGTACAGGAGAGCTCTCAGCCTTTTTAGGCAAGTATGTCTTCAGGCACAGCTCTAGGAACTATAAGCAGGAAAGTGCATTTTACCAAATAGCTTGAATTTATAGATGCCATCCATTTTGCAAAGTTCCTAGTGTGCATTTGGCCGCAATTTCCTCCAGCCTTTTTGACAAAATGGGTGCAGGGGTATGGCTGAGATCCTCACGTCAGTTCAAGTCATCCAGCTGTTTGCCTTTGTAACCACCATTGAGTCTTGTCCCCCCCAGCTCATGATCCAGGGGATGCATCTCGCTCTGTAGGGGTGGAACATGAGAGCTAATCAAGCTATTTCAACTTCTTTGTCAGAAACAGTGCCGATCAAACACATTTCTATCAACAGCTGCCTTTTTCAATTATGCAGAGAAAACATGAGAGGGATATTGTGCACTGCAGTATAGGCTTGTAATGATCTGAGAGGTTGCAGTAGCTTTCATACTGAGAAAAAGTGCAAGGGAGAGATGCTGAAGCGGTACTAGTAATGTGCGTGCTACAGCAGAGTCCATTACAGATGAGTAATAAAAGTGGTTCAGCAAATGAACCTTTCCAAGGGTGCCAAGTAGTTGGGCTGTGTTCTGCAATGTTGGGATGTGTATTAGGCCCAGGAGCAAAGAATTATTTTATCTAACCATATCTTGGCTGTTTGTTTCAAGCCTTTTTAACCTCCTGCTGTAGAAATGATGAAGTGCTGATGAGAAAAAGGACCTGATGTGACAACACCTGCTGCTGCCAGTGGGATCCACCAATACATGACTAAAATAAATGTGTTCATTTACCCACAAGATAGTTTTACACATGTGTATGAAACTGTGTCATGAATATGTTTCTTAGATGAGCCTGGGCACATCCTGTAGATCCGACCGCAGAACAACTACCCCGATCTTGCAGTAAGCACTAGGCAACCCTCTGCTGGCCTGCAAGTCAGAGCTGCAGGCTCTTGTTGGTTTTCCACCTTAGTCAAGTTTACATTTTTTGGTTGTGGGCTATAGTAGTAAAACCTAGCTCCTACGTTGAATTTTAAAGACGTAGACCGACACAGAGATACAGAGGAGATATGGGCAAAAGAAACTCAGTGTCACTAGGTTGTATTGCATTGAAATAATGCTTGTGTTCTTATGGTAAGTGATCTCAAAATTTGTTGTTGTGTAGTGCTGCTCAGTGACAAATTTCAGATTGCTTTGTAAAGCAGAGCAGAACCATAATTTCACACAAAGAAACTGATGCTCCGAGAAGGGAAATGATTTATCTGAAATCACACAGTTGGTCAGTGACAGCTCTGAGAACAGTCTCTTAGTTTGAAAATTTTTCCTTTTCTAAAGACTGACCTCAGCCAACATAGAAATGTTAATCATGGAACAACTTCACAAAAGTGGAAATTTATCTGCTAGACTTGACTCGAAGAAGTCCCTTGCCTTACTTCACACCATGATTAATCCATAGCTTTCGACATGCACTTACTTTTAATATGTGGGTTAGCGGATTCCTCATTTCTGATAAATCTTTTGGGTCTGGCTTGGGGGTTTTTTTGGTGTATATTAATCTTCAAATAAAGAGTTGTCTAGCTCTCATGCTGTTCTGTGTGGTGGTGAACTTTGGCTTGAGAACAGAGACTGTGCCTGTAAAACAGAGGAATACCAGCCTGATGCTTCACTTAAACGCATGAAGTACTTCACATCTTGTGTCTGTCTCGCAGACAGCTGGTCCAAGTGTGTCTGGCAGTCTCCTGGGTGGCTCTGGTCCCACAAGGTCCTCTATCTATTGGGGGAAGGAGTGCTATGTGATTGTTCACTAATAGATAAATTTAAAATGTAAACTTACAGACTAAGAACTGGTTTGTCTGTGTAAATTTGTTATGAAGTGGATTCTCTAGTAGCTAATACATTACTTAATTTTTTGCTTTAATCTCTCTGTGCAGGACACCAGCCATGATTGGATGCTCATTCGTTGTGGACCGACAGTATTTTGGTGAAATTGGCTTGCTTGACCCTGGTATGGAGGTCTATGGAGGAGAAAACATTGAATTAGGCATGAGGGTGAGTAACAAAGAAGAGACTTCGTGCCATGTCCATTAACAAAGAAGGGGAACCTGTGGCCCAGCAGAATTGCTGTCTGACTGATAAGCTATTTCTCTATATTGCAACGCTATCTGGAACTGACAGTCCCAGTAAATGAATGTTCTTGGCCTTAGTGGCCTTGAGAGAACTGATAACGGTCAGAAATATGGTTTATTTGTTCATTTGGTTAGTGTCTGAACCCAGTGAGATGGATTTTCCCCTTTCCCAGTAGCTGTGCTTGTGCAAAAAGCACAGTATGTCTTCATAAGCTCATTGTGCTTGGATGATGTGAGCATCATCTAGGCACAATGTCAACAAGCGTACAAGCACTGTATGTAGAGCATCCACTGCTTGTGGCCCAGCAGTGGTATGGACAGAAAGAAAAAAATCTTGTGATACTGACAGAAAACTAGGGCCAGGTGGAGGGAAGTCCGTTGTAATGTTCTACATACCACACGTGGTGAGTGCTGTGGTATTTTAAAACTTTTAATGTCCTCCTTATAGAACAAGAATTACAGGTTCCGACCTGTCAGACAGCTCAGTGCAAAGCTTGGACAGATGTCTTCAGGACAGCATCAGTCCACCCCGTGCTTCTGGACCTATAGAACGTTTCATGCTTATGATCCTTTGCCCTTGTTCTCAAGGTGGTGCTTGCCAGCAAGTCGTTCTGAAGTCCAAGGAACATGTCTTAGCTTAAAACTTGAAAATTAGGCCACTTAATGTTGCGTGAACACAGTTTCTTCATTATAAGGCTGCTGTTTAATTCTTTCCCCCTTATTCCCTGCTTCACAGTAGTGTGTCCCTGGTGCATGTAATGTGCTCATTAAAGCATATATTCTGCTCATGGTGAAACACTGAACATCAAATTAGTCCATTCTTTATCTGACTCTTTCCAAAATGGCTACAAAATCCTTCACACCAGTGGACTGAGGAAGAAGGTCACTGCGGCAAGACTTTATTTTCACATATGGGTGTCTATTTATTATTCCAGCATCGCGAGAGGGGATAGGGTTTGTAATGGGACTGCATGAATACACTGCTTATACTTTAAGGTTCAGAATTCACACAGGGGACAGAAAAACTGCTGCCACAAATCATCCAATTTTTCCTTAAGAGGGTCAGGCTATTACCAGGATTGTGTGAGCTTTCCTTTATCATTGCGCAGGGCTTTGAGCTGTTTGAAACTTTTTCCACATGGCTGCTCCCAGAATAGATTGAGCACCCTGGCAAAACTCTGGCGTAGCTGATGAATAAGCCTCCTAAGAAACCTGAAAGTTGTCGCTCTTCCTTAGACTAGAAGAACTTGCTGAGTATGATTAGGGCTCCTGGTAAACAGAGGCAAAGGTTTTAATAGGATTATGAAATGGCACTTGCTTGAAGAGAGAAGGATTTGAAGTGGGCAAGGACAGGTTTCCAGGGGTAGGCAACCTGTTTAAGTCTGTAGAAACCTAGGGTCCAGAAATCAGCTCTCATTCTTTGAATTTGTTTTATTTTATTTTTTTTCTGGTTTGGGGTTTTTTTTTCCCTATGAAGAATAATTAACCCTACTGTTTGAAAATGGTTTTATGGCAGTACAGCAGTATGAGTGACTTCAGCCTAAAATAAGCTGTATGTCCGCAGCATGTGTCTGTTCCTCTGCGTTTGCAGCCTGGATCTAGCAGGGTAAGTAATGTGCAGTGTCTGCCTCCCAATTTGCAAGTCGTACGTGCGATCCCCTCCTGTGTGTCTTTCAGAGCTGTCAGAAGCTAGCAGCATGAAAATGTGCAGGAACCTTCTCCCTTCCCTCTAGGATATTTATAAAATCACTGTGAATTTACAAAGTGGGGGGGGGTTTACCTCCAAAATCTCAAACTATGTTGCAAAAAACCGTTCCTTTCCCAAAGCCCAGTGCACCAACTCCCTGGGGATCTTTGGTGTATCCCCTACACCTGCACACAGGGATGCTGTTGCCCATGTGTGACTCTGCTTGTGTGAAATGAAGGACAAAAGAGGGAAGGAATAAATGAATGAATGAGCGAAGAGCAAGAAATAATATAATAATAAATAATAAAATGGTGGAGAAGTGATGGCACACATTTGGTTGGAAACAATCCCTCTTTAAAGTAACTGCAACAATAATCCTTTAAACTTTTTTGCAGACTATTATCATGTTATTGCTAAAAGAAAAGGGATTAGGTTTGGAGTGTCTGAATTAGATTACATTGGATCTAATGAACCCTCATTTAAATTGTTTTAATAAAGTGAAATAGGAAAAGTCAGTGAAACTAATGAGATGATTTGGAAGGATACTGTTTGATAACCCAACTAATCCCCTTTAAATCTATTGTTTATTAAAAAAAAAAATATATCTTGGGTATTCCACTATTGGCTTTTCCCTTTTCTAAATTCCATAGATGGGAATATTTAAATAATAAATCTAAGTGAATTTCTGTATTGAGTACAAAGTGCAGAAAATGACTGGGGCTACCTCATCTACTGAAAATATTTAGGGCTCTGCAGCTCCTATAACTCCTATTGTTTTTTGTCTAAACTTTGTGTTGGTTAGAGCTGCAGCGTTCTCCTAATGGGGTAGCTTTGCAGTGAAGCCAATGTCCGTTTGCCAAGCAAGGGAGATTCTGGTTGGGTTGAGAGAAAGCACCAGCTGTTCTGGGAAATGAAAGGAAGATGGACATGACTGCAGGCTTGTTGAGAGTAAGGAAATAGATGGATACTTATATAATGTCACCTTGTACTATATTTTTCAAAGGTGACAGTTTCACCACAAGACAGATAAACACAGGACTGAATTCTGTTATGGACAAATGGTGCTACTCTCTTTGTGTTCACCAGCCAGCTACTAAAGCTGATAGGAATTGTCTGTGAGCACCTAAAAGCTGATTTTGGCCAGGGATTTACAAAGGCAAGTCGTGCCTGATTCCTGTGTGGGTGAGGTGTCCTTCACAAGCATTGGCAGCTTAGCTTGTTAGCTGCGTTCAGGCGAGCACCACGCTGCTACGCTGCCTCCTTGTACCCGCCTGGATCCAGCAAGCAGTAGACAGCCCTGTTTTCTGCTGTGGTTCAGCTGCCTTCTTTCTACCTGCAGGCAGAGGTAGAGAAAAATAGCGATACTGTCCTCTGCAGCAAAGCTGTGGATGTTTCTGTGCCAGGAGAAGACACCCTAAACTCAGGGTAGATGATCTTTGCGACTCCTGGACATCAAATGATCTCTCTGACCTATACTACAAAGAGATGTCCCAACAGTAAGAGAAATTCAAGCAGTGCTTGAACGTAGAGTAAGACAGGGATCCCTTTAAGTGAGAATGTCAAATTACAACCCTGTAAGAAACTGCATGGCTTGACCCTCCTAGTGGGAGCCGCAAGTGCACTTCATTATTTAGAAAGGGATCATATAAACATTAAAAGCCTAGTTTATGATTTGACCTAATACAAGCAGTTTATGATGCATCTTTTTATAGTGAGTCATTAATCATTGATCTAAGGATCTCTCTCTTCCTCTTGTGCTCCAGTGATAAGGTGAATGAATTGCTGTTCTTTTTATTTTGTACCCATCAACTGTAATGGCGAGTGGGAAGAGATCAAAGATTTATTTTAAAGGATAATATAGTACAAATTAAATTCTGCTTCCACCATGAAGTATCCAAACAAATTAAATAAAAAATGCATTGCTACGTTGACAACTGAAAGCCAAACTTTTATGGCCGGCATCAACTGGCCATACTACTTTATTCTCAGTAGCACTGTGATAGACCTCGACAGAGGGAATCTTTTGACAAAAAAAACCACAACACCCAAATCCCTCAAACAACACTCTACCCCCGCCCTTCAAATTAATGACTTACCCAGTTTGAGATATCTTTAAGAATCCTACTGTTTAAGAGGTTTTGGCCAGGGAAATCAGTGAGAGATGTCTCTAGGTGCCAGTGTGACAAATTAACTCTATGGAGGATGCGGTGATGGCTTAGTTCTGCAGCAGAGCTGAGCTGGATGCTTAAGGTTAGTTGTGGCCTTGGCTGCTGCAGATGTGTCACAGGTAACTGTGGCCGGTTTTGGCAACTGGCAATGGCGTGGCCCTGGGAACACAGAGTTCATCAGGGTTGAAAAGAGTTGTCTGAAAAAGGGATAAAAGCTCAGATCTTCTGTGCTCTCTCTTTTTGTGATGATATTGTCAATGATGGCCAAGCTGCCCAGCTGAAAGCGAGCCTGGATTGTGTATGCAGAAATGCAGTCCCAGTTCTGGCCTTCACAGAAGTATTCTGTGTACTGTAAAAAAAACCCATGATGCAGATTCACTGAAATCTCTTTATGAGGAAATAAAACTCTTTACCTAACAGACTTTCATACACCAGCAAATCATTATACTTGCCATACTTATGTTATATGGCCCAGCTTTACTTCCTTTAAAAATACATGAACTACATTTTCCTGAACAGAAATGCCAGTTGTTAATTGTTGAGTAGTGAATTCTTGACCTGATTTTATTACCTTTAGCCAAGGAGATTTAGTTTTTTGGAGTAGTCAGTGTTTTAAATCTAGGTTCTAGACTGGTGTGCTGTAATAAAAATGTCACAAGGTTTGTGTAGCAAACTTTGCTTCTGAATTCTGGACAACACTTTGTACATTGTGTTGATTCATGAGGCCAGGCCCCTAATCTTGGAGCTGAGAGGTAAGTAGGAACCCTATTCTGGAGGCTTTCTCAAAATTTCAGGCTTTTTTCCCCACATACTGTGCAAAAATACAGGTTAATCAAAATATTTTATTTTGACAAATCCAAAAATACTGGCTGTAATTGTTAGCACAATTTAATCCAGTTTCAAATTAAAAGTTTTAAAAGAAAGCCTTTCAGTTTGAAGACATTTAATCACTTAAACAATGTTAACAAAAAATTACAATTGCTAGCATCTGAAAATATAGTGCACTCTGTCCTTAGCCATGCCTATTCACACTGCAGTGCGATAAATCAGCATTTTCAGCATGAAGTT